GCCGGCTGGAACCTGCTGCTCTCCTATCTCATCGGTAGGAGCCCCTTTTCCTCCCTCCTGCTCTGCTGGGGGTCTTTCCCGGACCCCACCAGCGCTGCCCCAGCCACCACCTCTGCCCAGGTACCGCCAGCGTTGCCCGGGCCTGGAGCGCCACCTTCGACCAGCTCCTCGGCAAGAAGATGGAGAGGTTTTTGGGTGCTCACGTGGCCATGGGCTCCGTGGGGCTGGCAGAGCACCCAGATGCCTTTGCCGCTGGCCTGGTGGTCCTGCTGGCAGGTAGGATGTCTCCCCCTGTGCCACCCTCCATCATGTTGGACGAACTTACCCCGCTGTGGAGTCTTCAGGGTGGTGCTGACCCCTCTGAGTCTTGGCAATTTCCCACAGCAAAGAATGGGGAATACAAGGGGAGTTTGGAGAAATCTGCAGATCCTCCTGACTCTACATCTGTCCCCATTTTCCACCCTCCCCAGTAATGTCTGCGCTGGGCCTGGTGTCATCCAAGGGGCTCAGCCAGTTGTTGTCTTTTCATCCCCAGGGCTCCTTTCCTTTGGAGTGAAGGAGTCCACCGCAGTCAACAAAGCCTTCACAGCTCTCAACGTGCTCGTCCTGCTCTTTGTCACAGTGAGTGGCTTCATCAAAGGGGACCTGAGCAACTGGAGGCTCCGTGAGGATGACCTGCCATGGACAGCTACTCCTGAGGCTGGGTACGAGGGGCTCTGCTCTCCCCGTGCTGCCCTCGGAGAGGGATGGGGGTGGCTGGGTCATCCCCCTAGTGCTTTATCCTGGGAAATCCCACTTTTCCCATTTCTCACTGCTCTGTTGGCAATGCATCAAAGAGAAAATATCCTAAGCCCTGATGGGGAATGCTGGAGGGTCGAGTGGACTTCTCATCCTGGCCCCATCCTGGGAGCCCATTGCACTGTCTCTCTGCACTGCCTGACTCTTCCTTCTCCTTCCAGAAACCAGTCTGTAGCTGACAACATGACCAGTGCCTTTGGGGTGGGAGGCTTCATGCCTTATGGCTTCACTGGGACCTTGGCTGGAGCCTCTACCTGTTTCTACGCCTTTGTTGGGTTTGACTGCATCGCTACCATGGGTGAGACAGGGAGAGATGCCAGCAGGACACACTCCTCCAAGGTTGGGGGGCATGGCAGTGGTTTTCCCTGCAGCCCCAGGAGCTGCTGTAGGGCTGGGCTGGGAATGGGCACATTCCCACCTCTGCCACAGCTCCTCTCTCCTGCCCTCTGTGCTCAGAGGAGGAGCTACTAAGAGTCCATGTGGCATGACTGGGCTGATCATTTTAAGGGTCTTTTCCAACCTAAATTATTCTATGATTAAATGAGTTTTTACAGCTGAGCTTGTCCTCCCCAGGGGAAGAAGTGAGGAACCCACAAAGATCCATTCCCATAGGCATTGTCCTTTCCCTCCTCATCTGCTTCCTCTTGTACTTTGGGGTGTCTGCTGCCCTCACCCTGATGATGCCCTACTACCTCCTGGACACCATGAGCCCTCTCCCAGCAGCTTTTGACTACGTTGGCTGGAGCAGTGCAAAGCACGCTGTGGCTGTGGGGTCACTGTGTGCCCTGACAACCAGGTAGGGGAGTCCTCTGATGGCAGCTCTGTGGCTCAGAGCAAGGCTGCACTGGAGCGAGAACACAGCCAGGAGCTATCCCCAGTCCCTTCCTTCTGCCTGTCCTGCTCGGCCAAAATCCCTCAGCCCTTCCTCACAAACCCTGTTGCTTCCCAGCCTGGCCCCTCTTGTTCCAGGAGAGCAACCAAACCCCTCAGCGTGCTGCTTTTAGCCTGAAGGTGGGAGGAGCTGGTCAGGTGTTTGGTGGCACTGTGACTGCAGGAGTAGGGTGGGGTGTATGTGTCTTGATGTGCACAGGGCTCCCTGTGACCTCTGGACATCACTTCCCTGGCACTGTACCTCACCTTATGGTGAAGGAGGTGCTGGCCTTGTCAGTACACTGTACAGATGAACAGGAGCTTCCTTGGCACCTAGGGAGGGGCAAAAGGCAGGATGGGCACTTCCTGGATTTGTGTCCCCTCTTCCCCCATCTCCTCCCCTCTCTGCAGCCTCTTGGGATCCATGTTCCCCATGCCACGGATTCTGTATGCAATGGCTCGAGATGGGCTCCTCTTCAAACCTCTGGCCAAAGTCAGTCGCCGTCAGTGCCCGGTGGTGGCCACGCTGGTGTCTGGAGGAGTGGCAGGTGGGTGAGTGATTGGGCTGCTCCTTAAGCTTGAGCAGGCTTTGGTGGATGCCCTCTGTCAGCAGGACAGCACAAACCCCTTAGCTTGCCAATACCCCCCTGTGCAGAGGGAGGTCTCCTTGCTGTGGGCAAGAGACCATTTGGCCTCAGTGCCGTCCTGGACACCAGTTCAGCCTCTCTGAGGTGGCAGGGGGCTTTGCACCAGTGGCTGGAGCATCACCATCTGATCAAGGTGCTCGAGTCCTGCTGCAGTGGGTGTCAGGAGGACTTGGGAGAGGGCAGAGGGAGAGCGTGGCTGGGATGGGCACAGCAGCAGCGTCACCAGCTCTGCCAGGAGGCTGAAAGAGCTTCTCATCCCCCCAGCTCTCCTGGCCCTCCTCTTTGACCTGAGATCCCTGGTTGACATGATGTCCATCAGCACACTGCTGGCCTACTCGCTGGTGGCTGGCTGTGTGCTGCTGCTCAGGTGAGGCTGCTGGGGACAGGGGACAGAGCTCACCCACCTTTTTTTGCTGGCCATGGCTGGGGCAAGGCACTGGCTCTGGTGCACACTCACATGCCTTGACATCCATTACCTTCTCCTCAGGTATCGGCCTGAACCCAGGGCTTGGGACAGTCCTGTGGGGAAGGTCCCAGCTTTGCAGCTCTGGTGGGACCACCTTGTCCGGCCACCCCCACGTCCCACCCCGTGTTCCTCTGCCATGGTGGCCTGGGCTCTGGCAGCCGTGGGTACGCCCGGGAGCGATGGGTGGGTTTATGGGGAGCTGATGTGGGGGGACCCGGGGGACACGGGTGGCCCAGGGGTG